ATCCCCCCCCCCCCTTCCAATAGTCTGGCATAGCTGATAATCTGGCACCCCCTGGGTCCTAAAGGTGCCGGATTATCGGAAGTTTACTGTACTTTGCACTTACATTGCACCCTTCATTTGAAGTTTTTTAAGAGTTTTTTAAATTGCTATTGGGGCTGTGGAGAAGATGCATTATCCTTGTTTTATATATGGGGAAACAAAAGCACAGAGTTAGAGCTCAGGGTGAAATCTGTCCCCATTGAAGTCAACAGCAAATCCCGTTGATCTTAATACAGCCAGTATTTCATGCCTGAGTTCTTGGCCTCCCAGTCACATGTTCTGGATATTAGCTGCATTTGTTTCCTTTTCAAACTCTGCCTTGGAAGAAATGGCATAGCCAGCCTTGAATTTCAGTGAACTATGTGTGTATGACTCTTAAAGCTTGAGCCCAGCCTCTGCCTCTCCCCCCCCCCCCCCCCCCCCCCGCTCTCTGTGCCACAGAGGCAGCAGAAGAGAGGGGCAGGTGACTAGTTGAGTAGTCAACTAGTCACTTATATCCCTAGTTGATTCTGCAAATTTGTGGATATCCGTGTCTGAGTTTCACAAACTGGGAGGGGAGGGAGAAGTGGTGCTACACGGCTGCTCTTGCCCCCAGCACAATCCCATTGGCTGGCTTCTGGCCAATGGAAGCTGCCTGTTTCCAAGAGCAGGCAGTGCAAAGCACTATTTTCCCCTTTCTCTTCAGGCTTAGGGCACGTCTAGGCTACGATTTACTTTTGAAAAGATGCAAATTTGGCGGGAATTTGCATATTATCTTCTGATCGCTTTTCTGAACAAGCAGTCTAGAGGTGATTCTTTCAAAAAACAAAAGAAAACAAAAAACAAACAAACACTTTTTTCAAAAGAACCGGTAAATCTCCATTTTTGAGGGTTTTTTTGTTCGAAAGAACCACATCTACACTGCTTGCTTTTTTGGGGGGGGAAAAAACTCTTTTGAAAAAGCGATTGGAAGAAGATATGCAAATTCCCGCTGAATTTGCCTATCTTCTTTCGAAATTAAAACATAGTCTAGACGTGCCCTTAGTCACCAACACACATGGTTCTGCAGCCTGTGCGGGGAGAAGGGCAGGCTGCTGGGCTGCTGGCCTGGAATCTCAGTGGTACGTCTCCTCACCAGAGCTTGCCTCTGGCACTCCTGCCTCTCCCTCCCTTTCCCCCTAAGCTCTCTGTGCCCCTACCCCACATAACTCAAACTCTCTGGCCCCCCTTCCTGAGCCTACATCCCCTCTCAGACCCTACACTCTAATCTTCTGCCCCAGATCACAGCCCCCTGCTGCCCTAGGTCACAATCCAAACCCCTGCACTGTAATCCCCTGCCCTAGATCTCAGTCCAAACTCCTTCACCCAAACTGAGTGGCTTCCAACCCCCAAAAAGTTCCCCACCTCTGCCATAAATAAAGACAATGTTGAAACCTTTTGTGTTGGACATACTATTTTACTTTCATTAAAAATGAAGCCTGGCCAACAAGCTCCCAGTTGGGGCCCAGACTCCATCTGGCCCCAGCATCCTAATACTCCTGCACCCCCCCCAACAACCCTGAGCCCCTCACACTCTTGCATTCCTAGACTCCTGTACCCCCCACATCGTCAGTTCCCTGCCATAACACTCGTGCCGCCCACACATACCCCAACCCTGTGTCCTGAGTCCATCATACCCCAACCCCTGCCGTGAGCCTCTCATACAGCCCAACCCAGTTTCCTGCACCCCTAAATCCCCAACCCCCTGCCATAAGGGTGACAGAAGACATGCATGCATGAAGCTGGATTTGACTAGTTATGATGTAAAACTTCAAAGAACTGCGTGGAAAGATGCAGCATCAGAAGTCCCATTAAATGAAGTCTGTGAGTACAATGTTTCATGTATGCATTAATCATTATGTTGATTTGTTGATCACTTGTTCTGAATTTTGATGTAGTTTGGCTCCTTGGTTTGAAAAGGTTACCAACCCCCGTCCTAGTTAGAATACTATAAATTTTGGTCTCTTGGTACTAAGTAGTGTTGGCCACAATCCAGATGTTTCTCACTTGCGGGTTTTTTTTAAAAATTTTTGCCAATGTGATTTTATTGCTGGATCCATAAATTTTCATTTTTGACATATTTAAAGATGGAATTAAAATGATTTTTAAACATGGAGTTATTTTTAAATCAGTGGCCCCCAAAATGTGAGGATCACTCCCCCCATACACTGGGAGTGGGGTTGGAGTGGGCCAGATATGGACAGAGGCTGCAGTTGGGGCCGGGAATGGGGCTGTCACCAGGTGTGGCTCTGCTCCCAGCCTCATCCCCAGGCCAGGAATGAAGCTGCAGCCAGTGGTTAAGGCTGGAGGTGGGGCCAAGTGGGGGGTGGGAGTCTGAGACTTGGCTGATGGTGGGACTGGAGCAGAGCTGGGGGCAGGGAGCGCCTGGCTAGCATTCCCTGGCCCCATGGGAGCTGACCCAGGCCCTGACCCAGTCTCTCAGACATTCCTGGGGGGTGCATCCCACCGTTTGGGGAGCTCTGTTTTAAATTGGTAGAATTCATTAAAAAAGCCTTTAATATTACAATTAAAGTGAACAGGATATTTTACTTCAAGCACCGGAGTTCAGGATCTCTCTCTTCTCAATTTGATGACTGACATTGGGACACTTGAAGAAGAAAAAGGGCTGCATGTTCTATTTGCTGTAATTATTTGTCACGTCACCAATTGTTTTAGGAGAAAAATCAAGGTCAGATTTTTTTTTTCCAAATACTTCTTAAAATGTTTTAATCTTTAATTTAAACCCATCATCATCCTTTTTTTAGGATCCAACCCTGAAAAATGCTATGCATTTTGGAATTCAGGGTATTCTAGGAGGAGCTCAGCACTTTGTGGGTATGGGCAGTTCTCACTTAACTTGTACTAAACCACCATAAATGTAATCAAGACTTCAAACAAATAAAAGTGCCCATCAGCGTTCCCTCTAATCTTTTCTAGTCCATGTGCAGAATAAATTTTATGTGCACTGAAGCATGTGCTAATGTGACCCACTCCCATCATTAGAAACAAAAAACCTAGCTGCCTGCGCTCTGCTAATCAGCGGGGTGGCATTTAAATCTCTCTGAGTGGCACACAGACACACAGTTACAGAAAATACTGATGTCTATGCCCCCCCCCCAAGGAATTTGTTCTGTGAAGTTTAAACAGGAGGTTTGAGGGAAGACCACAAAATGTGGGGCACAGGATGAGGGTGATTTAAGGACAAGGGCTGATGGAATAAGATAATGGAATTGCTGAGGTAATTGATGGGTGTATATTGAAGGTTAAACTAGGCAGTACATGGCATGCTAAAAGATTTAAGAAATTAAGGATACAGATATGGGACTGAGTAAGGGTTTTCCTTTTATAATTAGGAATAATAGGGAAAGGAGACAGCTAAGGAGAGCGGTTAAAGACAAAACAGGAGGGAGAAAGAAAAAAGAAAGAGGAGTTATGGGTTGAGGAGTTAGGGCAGGTAGGAGTTATGGGTTGAGGAGTTAGGGGCAGGTAGAAGTAAATAGACTACAGGAGCAGCAGTTGGAGGATTCTTAATTAGGTCTGTTGTTTTCCAGAAACTCTTGGAAATGAAAATCTGTCCATTTGAAGAATTAAGGAGTTGAATATGTAGCTAAACATATACAATGTAACCTACCATGGGCTATATTTTTAAGTACCACTTGGAGCAAAGTGTGACTTTCAAAGGGTCATAACTGGGTAAACCAAAACCAGTTTCGTTCAAAAGTCTCTGAGGCCATGTCACGGGGTCACCGGTCCGGGCCGCCGCCCCTCCTATTTGCCACTAGACCGCGCCCAATGTACCCCTTGGTTCTGGCCCTCTGGGCGGAGTGGGGGGTCCGGGCCCGCCCTCTCTCCGGACCCCGACCCAGGGCCCTGACACTGAGAGGCGCCCTCTCAGTGGTAGCAGGGGGGGCTGGTACCCCAAAACACCCCCGCTCCCGGGTTCCACAGCCCGCCCTGGGTCTTGCTCCACTCCGCCGGCCCTCACTCTGTCGGTTCTCCGCTGGCCTCTGCGGGTCCCCAGCCGCCTTCGCTGCCTCCTTGCCTGGCTTCCGCGGCTCCTTTCTCCCTCTCCTCGGCTCCTGCTCCCGCTGGTCCCGCCGCCGCTGGCTCTGGCGCCGCTGGTTCTGTCGCCGCTGGTCCCGCCGCCGCTGGCTCTGGCGCCGCTGGTTCTGTCGCCGCTGGTCCCGCCGCCGCTGCTGGTTCTGCCGGTCCCGCCGGTTCCGCCCCCCGTACCCCGGCCTCTCCGGCTCCTTTTATCCCCCTCCTTTCTGCCTTCCCTGGCGTCGCTCCTCCGACGTCATCACCGGCGCGCCCCGGCGCTGCGTGATGACGCGTCCCTCCACCCCCGCTCGGGCCTGCCGCGCTGATTGCTTGCTCCGTGGCGGCCCCGTTCGTCTCGCCCGAGTGACGGGGGTGCTCCACCCCGTCACACATGTCTACATTAGGCGATTATTTTGTTCGACTACATTAGGCGATTACTAAGTTCGACTTCTGGGCACCCAAATTTACAAATTCAAAGTTCCACGCCCTTACTATGGGGAAGAATCAAATGTAGTCAGAAGTAGTGCGTTCACATTAACAGAGCCTGCCTTGGACTCAGAGCCCCAAGAAGCACTCTGGGGAGTGTGTCAGGACAGTGGATACTTCCGGTGTCTGCTTGGTCTGGAAAACTGACGGGTGCTTCTAGGAGCTCCTCTCCATGCCCACGTGACACTCCTTCACTCTCACCTCTGGAGACAGAAAAGGGACGCAGTAGGCACATGCTTTGTTGTGCTCTGGTTACCCATGTGGATGCCATAGCACTGTGACCATGGAGACAGAGCTTCTGCAAAGTAGTACCATGCTCTTGGCTCTTGTGCTGCGCTTCATGGTGCAGTACGTCAGCAGTGCTTGCATGTTGCTCCACCAGGAACTAGACCACGATGAGGAGCACGAACCCCAGCATGGCCTGCAGGTGCTGCTCAGCCAAGTCCTGGTGCTCTTGCTATCCTGCTACTATGCATGCCTCTCAATCCCCTGGACACAGTGGAATGCTGCTTTTGGCAGAAGGAGACCAGTTCGGACTGGTGGGACTGCATCGTCATGCAGGGATGGGACGATCAGCAGTAGCTGTACAATTTCCACATGTGCAAGACTGCCTTCCTCAAACTCTGCAAGTGGCTCATCCTTACCCTGAGGCAACAGGATACCTGACTGAGACCCGGCATCCCTGTGCAGAAGTGTGTGGCCATTGCCCTCTGAGAGCTTGCTACACCGGACAGCTACTGCTTAGTCGGGAATCAGTTCGGGGGAAGGGAAATCCACAGTCTGGGCTGTGCTTGTACAAGTAGCTAAAGCCATCAACCACGTCCTACTACAAAAGATCGTTGCTCTGGGCAACGTGGACAGCATCGTGGATGACTTTTCCAACATGGACTTCCCCATCTGCAGGGGGGCCATAGACGGAACACACATCTGCATCCTGACTCCCGACCACCAGGCCTTGGAGTACAACCACAAGGGGTACTTTATGGTGCTGCAGGCGCTCATGAATCACAAGGGACACTTCGCTGACCTCAATGTCGGATAGTCAGGAAAGGTGCATGATGCCCACATGTTTCAGAACTCATGTCTCTTCAGAAAGATGCATGACGGTACTTTTTTCTCCCAATGGACAATCAGAGACAGAGGAGGATATGCCTCCTTTTTTGAGGCATAAGGATCTTGCGCAAAAGGGGGTTTTTGTATGAAAAGGAAACGTCCACGATGCATGTTTTTGCACAAAAACCTCTTACACAAAAATGCATCACAAGAGATTATGCAAATGAAGTGCAAGAAAATGCTAATCAGTGCTTCATTTGCATTGCCGTTTCCGGCAAAACCCATAGTGTTAGACATAGCCTCATAGTTGTATCTGTTTTTCTAATAATACAGTTTCTTCAAATAGGGTGTATATTTTAAAAGCATGTGGATTTGCAAAACATGCTAATGTGGCTGATTTGCTAAAGAGTGGAATGAAAAGATACAAATCTACAGAATTACAGAATCTGTAGAATTTATTACAGTTTTACTTGTCTAAACTAGAGGTATAAAATCTGTTTTGTGGAAATCACTTGCACAGTATTTAAAGAGTCTTAATAACAGGAAAAATGTTAATAACAGGAAATGCATTTCCCCCAAGCTACTTATATCCTTGTTTGACCATTTATATCTATAAATATTTACCATGGACTAAAACTTTGCATATGGATCAGAATCAGTAACAATTCTGTTCTGCATTTACTTCATTAGAAAATTACTTCAAGACCAAACAAATCTAGAATTTCCATCTTCCTTTCTTCTTAAGGCTTTGAATGAGATTCTGATTTATCAAAAAGTTGGAGGGGGATTTTTTTTAAGTCCAGCATCTTAACCTAATAGCTTCTTTTAGCGTTTATTATTATTATTATTATTTATTATTAAGTCAATTGGATACAGCACTTGCTTAGGCCCCCCCCCCCACCCAAATTTAAATGGTTTCCATTTAAAAGGTTTCCTCCTCTTCTAAAATTTAGTGCCAACAATGTTTAACAATTGCATATGCAGACAGCTTGAAACGAGCTTTCAGCTTTTTTTATTAATTTTTTTTCAAGTAATACTGAGTAACTTGGCTCCAATCCTGCAAACACTTACGGGTATAAGGGACTAGTCATATGTATGAAATTAAAAATTACTCATTTGTGTGTTTGTAGGATTGGGACCTTAGTCTCGAAAACAAGGGACTAATAACAGCAGCTTGACAGAACAGATGGTGGGTAAATGCTATGCTAGCTTCCCCACCTAGCTTTACCAATATATCTCATCCCAACGTGTGGTACCTTGTCTGTTCCAATGTTGTGCTTTCTTTGGGCAAATACTGATTTGTGCCAAACTGCTTTACAATTCTTTATTAAGTTTTAATAGGTTAAATTACCTATACCTTTTTTTAGAATAGCTATATTGTCTTCATTTGATAGAATCACAAAAAGATACAAAATTATATGATTTTTAGAATGGAAATGTTCTTCATTTAGCTTTTTACACAATGTAGTCACCATTTGTATAAATTACCATTAAAATATTAAAAGTATGCTAAGGCTGTAAATTCAAGAACTCAAGTATGTTTGGAAATATCAGAATTGCCCACATAACTTACAGTAGCGCAGAAGCTTTTATATTTACATTAATACAGTTTATAACTGGTAACAACAACATGTTTCTATTTCCAGATATTCCATGCAGGAAATGTATGAAGTCGTAGCTGTTGTGGAGGACTACAAACTCTTTGTTCCTTGGTGTAAAAAGTCAGATATAATATCCAAACGTTCTGGATACTGCAAAGCCCACTTAGAAATAGGATTTCCTCCTGTGGTAGAGAAATATACATCCGTTGTTACCCTAGTGAGACCTCACTTGGTTAAGGTAATTCTTATTCTGTGTATTTCTTTTACGTAACATTTCCTAATAGCTGCTTGAATAAAATTAATACTTTAAAGAAAATAGGAAACATGACTTCAAAACACAATTCTAAATTTATTCAGAAAGGTGCTTGGAGTAGTTTTTGAAAGACTCTCTGGCTACGTCTACACTGGCCCCTTTTCCGGAAGGGGCATGTTAATTTCAGAAGCCGTAATAGGGAAATCCGCGGGGGATTTAAATATCCCCCGTGGCATTTAAATAAAAATGTCCGCCGCTTTTTTCCGGCTTTTAAAAAAGCCGGAAAAGAGCGTCTACACTGGCCCCGATCCTCCGGAAAAAAAGCCCTTTTCCGGAGGATCTTATTCCGGAAAAAGCGCCCTTTTCCGGAGGCTCTTATTCCTTCAAAGTAGGAATAAGAGCCTCCGGAAAAGGGCGCTTTTTCCGGAGGATCGGGGCCAGTGTAGACGCTCTTTTCCGGCTTTTCTAAAAGCCGGAAAAAAGCGGCGGACATTTTTATTTAAATGCCGCGGGGGATATTTAAATCCCCCGCGGATTTCCCTACGACGACTGGTGAAATTTACATGCCCCTTCCGGAAAAGGGGCCAGTGTAGACGAGCCCTCTGTGTGTAGCTTTTGTTTGAGACTTAATTACAGTTGAGGGATATTAAACATCTAAGTTGCAAAGCAGAAAAATCTTTGATTTATTCTTTTTAATATGTGAGAAATAACCAGATATTTATATGATATATGTAATATCTCAATTCCTGGTTTTCTTCATTATAAGGTATATTTCTTATATAACCCTCTTTAAACCTAAAATTAATTTTGACTTGCCCGCTCCTCAAAGAAAAAGGGGTGTGATGCTTCAGACACTTCAGCAATCTGACATCACTCTCTTCCAGTATTCATGACTTGAGCCTTTCCAGACAGATAGGCCAGATCATTTAAGTCCTTTAATGGGTGAAGCCTTATTTGGTAGAAAGACTGATGAAAGATGGATCTACTGCTCTGTCTTTCAGGTTAAATTGGTCAGAAGAGAAGGGACTATGCTACATCTTTTAAGTTCCAGAGACAATAACTTTCATCTGCTTCCTTTTACCCCTCGCAATAAGCTTTAACCATAGTAGTAACAAAAAAGGCAGAATAAAAGGAAAACATTTTAAGCAGAGGTCTGGCACTTCTGCTGCTCTTTTGTCTTCTACACTAGCTTAGGTTCAAATCTAAGAGTTGTTGGCAACCAGAATTCCCTCTAAGATTTTCCATCCATGAGTGAAGTGAGTTTTGTCTTGTGCACCAATATTGAGTTCGTGTGTGTGTATTCGGATGTGTGCCACTGTGGCACCCAAGTTTTATACACCTCTTCCTTTTGCTGCCATGTCTCTCATCCTCCCCTTGCCCCATCTGCTCCCCTGGTGCCTGCTGCTGCTCCCCACTTACTCTCCTTTGCTATCCTGGCTCCTGCCCTTCTCACTCCCCTCAGCCCTCTTGGGACTTGCCCCGTTTCCCCATCCTCTCTGACCCTTGCACTTGCCCTTCCTTCCTGTGCCAAGCCCTCCTCTAGCTCCCCTCCCCATCGCCTCTCCTAACACCTCCCTCTACCCACCTGCCCTGCCTCTCTCTTCTACCCTCTGGTGCCCATCCCTTTCCTCCTCTCCCCTCCCCATGTCTGCCCTTCTGCTTCACCCCCACAATCCCCCTGACACCTGCACCTTACCTGACCCCCTGCATCCTCCTGGTGTCTTCCCCTTCCCTCACTGCCCCTGCCCTCCCAACACCTGCTCCGCCTTGCCCTTTTCCTCCCTGGTGCCTACCCTTCACCAGCCTCTGCCCCAGTTCTTCTCACACTCTTTTGCACCCTCACACATGACTTTCTCCAACCCCTTCCTTTCTCATGCCCACCCCTCCTTTCAACCCCTTTTCTCCCAGCACCCACTCCTCCCCTCTCCTCTTCCTTCCTCTTGCCCCTCTCCTCTCCTCTCCTAGCATCACCCTGTCCCCTCAGGCTGCGTGGTGGCTGCCCAGCTGCTCCTGGGGTGGGCAGTCACCCACCATGCGGCCACAGCCCTGCCCACAGAGCTGCTGGGACTGCAGCTGCATGGCTCTGCTGAGGAGGTGGGCAGGAATGAAATTCTTGGTGCAAGCCCACGCAGGTGTCGCCCTTACAGAGAACCCTGCTTGGAACCCTAATCTCCAGTTCTTTTACACATTTCCGTCTTGCACCTTTCCTTCACTTTGTGACATCTAGTCCATTTTCTTGCAGCATGGAGTAGGATTAACACTGATAGCTGGTGTCAAAGATAATTGGTCAGATACTCAGTCAAATTCTACACTTTCTCCCATCTTCATTCTTTCTGGTAACTTTCCATTTCAAACACTGCTCAGAGCAGAAATGGATTTTTTCAATATGGGAAATATAAAATACCAAGGCTGTACAGTGGAAGAAGGGCTTTGTTTTAAGGAATTTTCTCATTCGGGTCAGAGGGGTGGGGGGGAGGAGGAGAGAAAGGGGTTCTTTCTCATCGACCTGAGACAGTTGAACAGTTACAGTAAAAATTCAGGATTCACATACTGACTGGACTCTGTCCTGACCATTTTCCTACATGGAGCATGGAGTGGCTCTTGACCTAACTGTGAATGTAGGTATCAGGCTGCTCATCAACTATGTCTTTGCTTTTAGCTCACCTTAAAAGAGCATATCTTGTCTTGGAGAAGACTAGAATATTTCACCTCTAATGGTGGTGGAGAGAGAAATCTTTCTTTGGTATTACAGTGAACCCTCGTTTATCGCGGTAGATAGGTTCCAAACCCTACCGCGATAGATGAAAATCCGCGAAGTAGAAGTAGGATCCTCAAAGCCTCGGGGGAAGCCGGCGGGGGGGGCATCCCAGGCACGCCTGGGATGTATGCCCGGCGTACAAGACGACCCCCGATTTTTGGGGGATGTTTTTTAACATCAAAAGTCGTCTTGTATGCCGGAATATACGGTACCCTCTGCAGATTCCAGTTTCTGATCAACTGACATAATGTTCAATATTGCTGTATCAGATATAATAGATTTTCTATTATTAATCATACAGGTATTAGATATAACTATACAGAAGAGTGGCGGTGGCGAAAGCATTCAGGAGACCCACATTCAGTTTGTCTCCTCTTCAGGCTTCCTGTGTTGTGACCTGGAGCAAAGTCACTTTCTCGCTTTCTCTTTTTCTCTGTGTCACTTTTTCATCTGTAAAATGAAGATATTTCCGTGTAAAATGAAGATATTTCCCTATCTCACAGGCATATGGAGTACATAAGTACATTTTGGGGGGAGGGGGAGAAGTGAGGTACTAGGGCAATGGGAGTTATGTAAATATCTTAGATTAGCTAATAGAACTTGCGAAGACTTATGCCTATACTTAATGTTACATTCTGTGCGTCATCCCATTCATGTTAGTAAGACTACTTGCCATGTGTAGAATTAGGCAAACGCATGGGTCTCTTTAGAATGAGAATATAAGACTAAAGCCTGTCTTCCCCCCCCCCCCCCCCGCCTTATTCCAAAAAATAA